ACTATGTATTCAGACAGATTTCTGGAATGGAATGACTGAGCATTCTGTAGAAAACTTTGAGAACTGAACATGGATGGTGGGTTACTTATGGAATCTGTGGCATTAGGTGCTCTTGGCTCCCAGTGGCTGATTGTCAGTCCACCAGGAATTGACATGATGCTGATCATTTTCTGTGGCTGAATGTCCATAACTGTGGGCTGAATTTGTGACAAAAAAGTATTTTCAGAATTTATAGAAAACATCATATGTCAAAACAGAAATGGAAAATAAACTCATTGAAATACAAATTCAACCAACCTGAACCATTTCACTACGAGATTTGGCGCCCCATCTTTCATTCTGCGCTGCTTCAGCTTTTGATTGCGGATTACCGTTTGCCAGCATCTCAGAAATTAGGCGAGCATTCTCCTGTAACATGGTAATGGCCTCCTTAAGATCTTGTGGAACATACTGAATATTGTCTGGTAAGGTAGAAGTTCCTTGGTCGCGAAATCGTCTGCTGCGAGATTTCCCGCCGGCGGGAAAATGAAGTTGTATCTGATCTATATCGATAGTGCCATCCTTTCCAACGGACTTGGATCGTCTCTCTTGCACACGTCTTGCTTCGTCTATCAGGTCGTCTGCGAAGTCGTATTGTTCTTGATCAGAGCACTCCATGTCACTAACCACTACCATGGCGTTTTCTGAGCGTGATGTCCGCTGTGCCCAAGGAATGAAGAACAAGATTATTGCACCAGTGATAACAGGAATTCCGGCGCAGTGGAAGGCTACATTATAGGACCCTAAGGCGTCAAATAGGGCACCTGTTGTACATTTAAAGTGAAGTATTAGACTCATTATTATACGTTCAAATTCTCTTCTGTTTCTGAGCAGAAACCAAAATTTTTATCCAAGATACAGGATAACTTCGAAACATACATATTTTTGAATTTTAAAAGCTTTCTTCATTATGCAGCATGACGTGAAATAAAAGTCTTTCAATTAACTTATTTTATAGTAAGTACTATACGTTTACACTACCAACATTTCGCTGACATACCAGCAACTGGTGGACCAAGGGTGAAGGTTACAGAACTTGTGCCAATCAGAAACCCCCAGGCAGTTACTGAATTCTCTCCTGCCATCAGGGATACCGTCAGCACAGGTAGGAGGACAACGTAACATCCGTCCACTAAACCAACGACAACTACGTAAAAGATGATCCCGATAAAGGAGCGGATCATTGGGAGCATCATCACAGCTGTTCCGGTGACCACCATCGACAGCTGGTGCATGTGAAGTCTGTTCAGGACGCCCAGACCCACTATTTTTCCAAACATGACACGGCCAATGGCTGTGGTGATTCCCAATACCATTATTAACATTGAGCCTTTCTCTGGGGGAATACCGATGTCTTGTGCGTACGAAACCTGTACAAATTGAATGACAAGTTTAAGTGCTTGGGATATTACATATATCGTTGAAGTTTTAAAAAATACAAGTAATTGAACGTTTGTTTTGATGCATAAAAATGTAATTTTGTTTGTCCTTGGAGCAATTAATCTTGAAAGAGCTAACTTTTCTTGTGTATGGAATGCTTGCTAGATCGAAGTACATCCTACATTGTTGCAGTTTCATTCTTAATGAATTTTACAGCTGTAGCCAACTGCATCTTTTCGTCCTTACATTTAATCAAGTCTTAAAAGATTAATAAAAGTATTTTAAAGAATTTCAATGTATAACCTTTTTTTTCAATATTTACCAAATGAACATAGGGGATATAGTAGCCAAACATAACGCATGTTACAGCACAAGTCCACACGACGAAGACTCGGTTCTTCCAGAGTTTCAGCTCCTGCATAAGTTTCCTGGCGGGGGACTGTTTGATGGACTCCAATGGTGTCTCCTGTTCAGATGACGGCAAAGGTCTAATCAGACAACAGCATATTGCACTGAAAAGGCAAGTGCCAGAGAAACAGCGGAATGTGTTTCTCCAACCAATGGCGTCAATAAGGGTCTGGGAAACTGGTGCCATGATTAAGGTCCCGATACTGCTTCCAGCAGTCATAAGACCCACAGCTAGTGTCATGTGTTTGTCAAAGAACTTTGGGGCTATGGTCATCGTTGGACTGACGGACATGCAAGTTCCGATCCCATACAAGACCGAGAAGGAGCCAAACATTTGGTTTAAATGGGTCACGAATGAAGAGAGGAAGACAGCAACGGCGCAGAGAAGTCCGCCCGCAATCATCACAACACGGTGTCCAAAACGGTTCACCAGGATACTGGCTACTGGTCCAAAGGTCATAGATAGTCCATAGGCCACGGAACCAATCCATGCTGTAAAAGAATCAAACATCAAGAAAATCACTCAGTATAAGAAAATGTCGAGAATATTGGGCTTTTAGTAATCTTTTACTATATACGTGAATTATAGCCAGATACTCACTGGCAATTGCAAATTGTTTTCATTAGTAGTACTATATAGTATGTGCGTAGAACTTTTCAGCTCTGATATGCCGTCATTTGTTTAACGTACAAGTCAATGTACATGCACCTCCAAATCCCGTATTAATCAAAAATTATTGTTCGAATTTATACATTTATATGTTTTTTTAAAATAAGTTTTATTAGTAACCAATCTGATGCATTATTACCTCTTCATTATTTTTTTTAATCAATATCAGCGAAATATTTGGTGGGGGGGGGGGGGTCTGAATTGTGCAGGGAGTCGATTTGATTACAAAGTTTTCTGTAGCAATTTTAAAACATCTGAATTAATTCACATATTTCAACAATTTCAAGAAAATAAACAAAGCACTGTGATCTGTGAAGTGTCGATCAAAATATAGAATTGTATGAAAGTGTTTTCATATGAAGATTAGGATGAAGGTATTTTCTTAACAAATTGCAAGATGGACAAGTTCATGAAATTGGAACATCATCTTACCAGCTTGAAGTCTATCTGAAAAGAATTTAATCCCCCACCCCCACCCCCCGAATGATTCGCTGTATACTATAAGTAGTGCCACGGGGCCGATTTTGGGCCGATTTCATTGAACTGAATTATGGTCATGTATTTCCTATACTTTTATTCAACATGAATAATTGTTTAACCTATGCTCCTTGCACCATGTACCTATGACGTTACTATTTTATAGCACTCTTTTGGCAACTCCAACATTTACTTTGGCAGTGAAAGGGTTGAACACGATGAGTTTACAGTGGTATTTTAAACAAACTTTTTTGTCTTAAACTTTTACATAAGAAATACTAGTATTATCTTACCAGCAGTTTCTGTTGATGATTTTATGTCTTTCACGAAAGCGACGAGAAAAAATCCCCAAGAATGAAGAACTCCGACAATAAAAGCTCTATTTAACAGCAAAGCAAAACAAATTAAAAAAGACTGCCAGCTGTCTTTTCTGAATTCTCGAGTCATACATGTAACTTCAATATTTTCTGATTCCTGATCGTCATTGTCAGATAAAAGACCTTTGTCCCCTTTTGCCATTTTCAAAAAAGTAGCTTTATAATTTTTAGCGCGAATTTTGACGTTCCCTCTTTGACAACGTAACAACGTTACTAGAATAATGACGTAACTGAAGCATTTTTTTCAGTATTGAGAACATCGTTCTTTCTTGCGAAAGATGATATACATTGACATACGGGGGGGGGGGGGGGGGTCCAAATGTAGTGATTTTAATTTATAAACTGAAATTGAAGTCACAGTTTAATTTTACAAATATGCTTCCGGTAAGAAAAAAAATTAAAAAATGAATTTACAGACATGTACTAACTTCCATCAATATACCCAGTAGACTCTTAAGAACTTTCATTATCTGTTATATATGATATAGGAAGTATTTTCTTAAGATTGTCAACTGTGATACAAACCTACATTAGCTCTGGAGGTATTATATTCCCGTATGAACACAATGAAAAATACACCAAAAACGAACAGGAGACTTGGAATGAGCATTTGTACCACGACAACGACGGCGCAAACAATCCATGACATTTTGCTGTCTTTGTCAGACACGGCTAGTGGCATCACTTCGGACCGTGTGCCCCTTTCCTCTGGTTGAGATTGGTGATGCTCTTTTGGAGATGTCATTCACTAACATGCATTTTTCTTATAGATTTCTGGCAATCTATCTGTCCACGTTGGTTCAGCATATAGATGTACAAACACGTAAGTATTCCATGTGTTTTACGTTGATGACGTCACAATTGATTTCGTTCTTTGCTACGCCATTTATTGTAGAAAGGAATTGTACATTGAAAAAAAAATTCAGGTAAAAAATTATTTTCTGTACTTTAAATTGGGGGGATAGGTGGAAATTGATAATTTTAGATATTTTTTGGCATATTATAGTGTACTGTAGTGTAAAACACTTTGTTTTCGTCATAGCTTATGTTCCTCCGGGGGGTGCTAAACATGTCCAGTAAGTAAGTAGAGAAAAAAAAATCGATCCTATCAATATTTGAGTACAAAAAAAACTACTAAAGAATAATATGCAGTATTAAGATAAATAATGAAAAGGCGAAACCAAAATCAAACACCAGAAAGAAAAGACATTGGGGTGCCCCCCCCCCCCCCCCCCCCCGTTTTAAAAAAGACAAAAGTAAGTAAACGATATACAAATAATAGAAGTTACTGTGTTTTTGAACATTAAAATCTTATCTTAAAATGAAAATCCAAGCAAGCCTATAAATGATGTTTATGTACAGGTTCCGCCCCTTTTTCAGTTTGAGGAACATGCAATAATACATGTAGATCCGCGCCCCCGGAGATGGATAAAAAATAATTATGCATTAAATATAATTATAGGCATAATAATTGACCGATCATAAGTGAAAAAAAAAAATTACCAAATAAAAAAATACAATCTTATAATTAATAACGAAAGGTAAAGCAGATCTTGATTTATTTTTAAATAAATGAGAGTTTTGTTGTGTTTTAAGCGGCCCTCGCCATTGCAAGTTTCCGGATGATGTAAGCGACAAATCGCCACATCTGACTGTCAGAAGATCGACTCAGACAAATCCTTGACGTAAATCGTCAGAAAGAGGTGAGCAAGTAAAAAGATATGGACTGTATTGTAGATTTTGATATTTCACAGATTCAATTATTAAGCCACCGGCTTAATTTTTATGGCATCTCTACTCGAACCAAGCCTGTACATTGCATACATTAGTGGCGTCTTCGAATTTCCTCGAAAGAATATTACGAAATTTGTTTGTTTGATATCATATATGATTTAAAGCTTCTTTCTGAATAAAGAATGGGCTTTATTTAGCTACGTAATCTTATTCTTTAAGGAATTATAAAGAAAAGTAAATACAAAGAGAGAAACGTCAGTTATTGTCGGGACTCTTTCTACCAAGTATACAATATTGTGAAAATTCTTCAATCTGAATATTGAATAATAAGAATATTTAGCTAAACCTTGAACAAGTAACCACACTTTTAAATACATAGAATGGAATATGCTTTTTAAAAACTTACTTTATCTTGGTTTAAGGAATCCTAAATCATTTTTTGATTTTTATAGACATGCCGAGATTTTGATTTTAGCATAATTTTTATGATTTGTCACTAAATTACACCATTATGTTTTCAATACTAAAATTACAACTTTGTACAAAATTAGGATCTATAGATAACTTTTTCTGTCAGAAGTTTAGTTAGAATATTACTCTTTCAACCACACAGAATGGTTTTCATCATTCTGGTAAGCACCACTGATCAAGTGCTGATGAATATTTGAGACTAATGTGTGAATATCTGGTGAAAAATTGCTATAGGGTCTTGTAACTTTACTAAGTAAATCAACCTTAAGTTGACCAGCCTTCATCTCCATTGACTAAAGTCGTCTCAGCAGTTTGAAGCATGTGCTATATTAATAAAATAAACTCCAAATAGTTATGACTGTTTTTCATCATTATTAAAAAAAAATGATGAATTTTTGTTATTATTAAAAATCAAATTTATGACATAGAAATCACCATTTTTAAAAATGATGATTTTCAGTCTCACCCATGACTAATATAAATTAATTGGAACTTGATCCAGTCTGAACTCCCAATCAGCATGGTCAGAGAACATTGCTGCTCCTAACACATATGAAGGAAAAAAACCCACTTCCTTTGTTTTGGTAGTGAGCATTTCAGTTTCTAAGTATTGTTAATTTCTACACTATGTGATGAAATATCATCAGATAAACATGTTGATGACAAATAGTTGTATGGTCACAAGTTAAATTTTTAGCTCACCTGAGCTGAAACCTCAAGTACATGTAAGCTTTTCTGATCACATTTTGTCTGCAGTCAGTCTGTCCATCTGTCTGTCTAGCTGTCTGTCTGTCCGTCTGTAAACTTTTCACATTTTTGACTTCTTCTCCAGAATCACTAGGCCAATTTCAACCAAACTTGCCACAAAGCATTCTTGGGTGAAGGGAAATAAAGTTTGTTCAAATGAAGGGCCACGCCCTCATTCAAGGGAAGATAATTCAGAAATACTGAAAATTCGGTGGCATGTGTTAAAAATCTTCTCAAGAACTATTGGGCCCAAAAAGTTGAAACTTATAGGAAACCTTCTTTACATAGTGTCAATTCAACACTCAAATCATGACCCCTGGGAATAGGGTGGGGCCACAATGGGGGATCAATTTTTTTAATTGGAATATATATAGTAAAAAACTTGAAAAATCTTCTCAAGAATAGCAAACTATGTTTAGTCATATTGATATGGAAGTATTGATATGGAAGCATTCTCAGGTAGTGTAGATCCAAGTTTGTTCAAATTATGATCCCCTGGGGATAGGGAGGGGCCTGAATGTGGGAACAAAGTTTTACAAAGGAATATATAGGAAAAAACTTGAAAAATGTTCTTCTCAAGAATAGCAAATCCATGTTTAGTCATATTGATATGGAAGCATTCTTGGGTAGTGTAGAATCAAGTTTGTTCAAATGATGACCCAAGGGGGTAGGTATGGGCCTAAATGGGGGATCAAAGTTTTACAAAGGAATATTTATATATAAAATTTAAGCCCCCCCCCCTTCTTCCCCCTGTCAACTTTTCAATATTGTAGTGATTTATGCTTTTTCCTAGCCACTGTGCTAAGGTGAGCAGTGTGGTCTATGGCCATTGGGCCTCTTGTTTTATAAACCATGATAACCCAAATGAAGTTCGTAAGAGGACACATATATATGTTGCCTGCATAGTATGGCAGATACTACTCACACATAATGTTTTTCTGTGTTACTTTATGGAAGAAGTCATACTTACTTTTAAAATGACATGTCTTAAGAAATCTGTAGATTCTGCAGGTACTTTTCTGTTTTAACACTGTAACAGTGACATTTTTTCTTATGTGCTCATATGCAGATAGAAAACAGAATGGACTTGAGTGGGAAGTTAATTATAAAAGTCCAGCTAGGCGATGACATCAGGAGGATCCCAATACACAATGAAGACATTACCTATGATGAGTTAGTGCTGATGATGCAGAGAGTCTTTAGAGGAAAATTAAACAATGATGATGACATTTTAATCAAATATAAAGATGAAGGTAGAGTAACTTAACTGTAAAATTAATGGATTTATTTTGACTGTTACAAACTGAATTTTGTTCCGGATTTGATTGATTAACAATTGTAGTAAACTTAAATGCATAATCTAAAGGTACGGTAACTGAAATTTATGTGCACCTGCAGCTGGCATATGATATGATAATGATTAAACTTTTAATCTCTGTTGTTTAAATTCCAAGATTGTTTTTTTTTATATGCTCCTATAAATATTGAATTTTTAAAATCAGTCTGAGAGTTTATTCTGATACATGTATTTAGTCTAATATCAAAATTAACAGTTTTTTTTGTGGATGTCTGCAGATCAAGATCTGGTAACCATTTTTGATGATTCTGATCTGTCCTTTGCAATACAGTGCAGCAGAATTCTTAAAATAACCTTATTTGGTAAGTATCAGAGATTTTTGTAGTTACCTTTATTGAGGAAAAATTTGTTATGTAATGAGTTGTCAAATTTATATGAAATATAAAAGAATTAAAAGATGGACAAACACATGATGAAAAGGTTATGCAATATTTTTTTGTTTCAGTAAATGGACATAGTCTGACAGCCGCAGGAAATGCCCCCCAGCTGTCTACTGTAAGGAGGGAACTTAGACATATACGAGACAGAGTCACACAGCTCCTGGATCAACTAGAGGTGGGGGAACAGGAAATCACCAGCTCTGTGGACAGCAAAAGGGCACCTGCTGCTAAAGGTAGATAACTGGGCATTAAAGTTATGAATGCACACCTTTTAAAAGAAATTCATTTCATATAAAGATGTTTAGGAAAAAAGGAAGATTTTTTTTTCCTTTATAACATGCATAAAACAGCCTTATGCAGTTTCAGGAAAATTTATTAGTATTATGCATGGGTTTGAAAAAGGAATTGTCATGGTTTTGATACCATGTATAAATAACTGAACTTAGAGAGATGGGTGTAGTACATCTTCAGTTTTGTCAAAGCCATATAACTATGTCAGTGGACGATTTCTTCTGTTTAGATGAACCGATGGTTGTGTCAGAGAACAATCGTCGGGTAGAGCATCCCACCTCTAGTCAGCCCCGAGATGTCTCCCACAGTAAGGAGTTTGATCCATACTCCAGCCAAAAGTCAGTGGAGGAAAACAACCCCAGTAAAGTTATGTCCTCTTTTGGAATGAGTGGTAAGAATTCAACAGTCTCAGTATTTTCATTCTAAATGCAAAAGATTTTTTTTTTCAGGTATTAATTATTTTGACAATTAAGTGTGGTTAGGGTAAACATTACTCATTCATTCATAAACTGATAATTTAAAAATTGTTATAATACTTTATTTCTTGCTAATTCTGATTCTGAATAACACATTCTCAATATAGGACAAGAGAGATCTGGAACCCCAGACAGTATTTCTAGTATAGGCTCATCCACAAACCAGAAACACAATATCCAACCCTCCCCCTCCCCTGCAACGCCAGTCTCCCACCCCTCAGCTTTCGTCTCCCCACAGCCAGTCCAGAGCCAGCCTCGGGTCATTACCCCACAGCAACACCCTGGTCAGCCAAACTTTAGCCAGCAACCCACTGGTTACCAGGGACAGCAACCAGGTTATGGCCAGCAGGCCCCAGGTATAATGCTCTAATCTAGGGGAAGTTAGTCTTGTTCTATTCATTTGCATGAATTTTCTAATTTTTGTATAAATTGTTATATATTGGGTATCAAAAGATTCAAGATAAGAATGGTTAGGAATAGATTATTTAAAAATTGATTTTGAACAACGAAAAATGTACCATAATATAGTAATTCTAATCTATCCATGCATAAAAAAGTAAATGATTAAGTTAGTGGTGCAGTTTGTTTGTTTAATTTACATAAGATGTTTACCCTCTTTTACACTCACTGAAAAATATGATACTGTATATGTTTGGTTTATTGCTTTGCTCCAGTCTACATAAACACATAGTTATCTTACCTGTAGAAGTAATAAGAAGTAAAACTATGAATTCCATTTTTAAGCCCCCCCCCCCCCCCAAAAAAAATTCTATATAGAAATGCACATTTCAAATATTCATTGAGCATTCATGTTTACTCAGGTTTCCCTGGTGGATCCCAACAACCCACTCCCCCACCCCAATCTGGTGCACAGCAGAGACCCTTTCAGAGCCCTGCTACCTCTCAGCCTGACAGACAACCCAGCCCCATGACTCATGGAATGTCTCCTGGCCAACCCTCACAGGGCATGGCACCAGGTCAGTCAGGGCAAGGCATGCCTCAAGGCCAACCAGGAATGCCTCAAGGGCAGCCAGGAATGCCCCAAGGCCAACAGCAGGGCATGTCTCATGGGCCACCACAATCACAGGGGGTACCTCCAGGACAGCCAGGATTCCCTCCACAACAAGGAGCTGGTAACTATGGTTATGGACAGTATGGAGGACAAGGCATGCCTCAGCCTGGTCAAGGCCAAATGCCTCCGACATCAGCAGCACAGTGGAATCAACAACAGGTAACATAGAGTTTCTACATTATCTATGGATAGTCCATACCCTTCTTTAATTAATTTAATTAAAAGTGTTTCCTGTATTATTGTACAATGTACCAGAAGTATGCATTCATGTCAGATGGCTCTCATATTGTAATAGATTTACACTTGTTACTGGAGTCAAGAATCACATTCTCCTTAATGTATAACGATGGTATTGTAAAATTAAAAAACTTATCATCATTATTAATTGCAACACATTTTCTTAATTGACAAATTCTTATCAATCCCTTTTAAGTTTTAATGTTGTAAGTTTATGTGACTATAGTAATACTATAAGGAAAGTGAAAACTTCATTTATTTAATAAGAATTACTGAATTGTTTGTTCAGGGAATGTATCAAGGAGGATATGCAGGTCAGCCACAGCCAGGAGGTGCCCCACCCAGCAGTGCTGGACCCACCCCAGGGGGTCAGTCTAATCCCTACTCCAGAGGAGGAGGGCCAGGAGGATTTGGTGGTTACCCCAAACCAGCCCAGGGCTATCCTGGGTATAAGTAATGAAAAAGACATTTTAAAGAAATTTTAAAGTCCTGTTAATGTTCGTAATATATTTGCTTTAAATTTGTGGTAGCTCTGTCAAAGTAAAATATTTATTCTGCAAAGTTTCTGTTTTTATTAAGTGCAATACTAACTTCAAAAACGAATAAATTTGAATTGTCAAACACATCCATTTAATTCACTTTATAAACTCTCAAGCCAATTCAAACAGTGATTGAATTAAACATTCTTTGACATTGAAGCTGATGAAAACATTATGCTATGTATTTTTTTATTGATTTATTGTATAGTATCATGAATATATTTATGCATTGAATTGTTTATTTGAAAGATTTATGAATGCCATGTTAGTATTGGTAAAAGAGAACTGTATTGTGAGTGTGTTATTTTAATCAAGATCTGTTAAAATGATAATTCATCATGAAGTGATGTATATGTACATATTTTAATTGTACATGTAAGCATTAGTTGGTTGTGTTTTGTAAGACTGAATGCTTGCTTGAAATGAGAAGTTTATACCCATATCATATCACATTGCATGATTAAGTGGTTATAGATAAATGTTATAAAAGTAGAATTACTCATCCATTTTATTATTATTATTTTTTTTTTTGTCAGTTGGTAAATTTATAATGAAGACCATTTTTAAATTGTAATGTCACAGAATGAGAGCAAAGGATTGAAATCAGTTATGGTTAAACCATATTTTCAGACCACAAGAAAAGACATCATTAAATTTTTAACCATTATAAATCTATCAATTGTGAAATCAGCCCAAGACCAAGTTGCTTATAGGATTTCAATATTTTAAAAAAATCATACTTAAAGCTTTTGAATAAGTGAGCTGCTTGCTTCACAGCTACATCTATACCACTTTCCTTTAATTTATATAGATTACATGTAAATACATAGATATATTTTGAAATTTGCATTTAGATCTTTTCTGTTAATAGATATTTAAGATATTGCTATTTTTTTTTTTTGAATTTATATTTGTTGCAGAAATTCAAGAGTTTGTGATGTTTTTGTCAAACACAAATATACAAATGGCAAATTAGAGGAAAAATATTGCAATATTTGGTTAGATTACTGAATAAATTCATTAATAGAAATTGTACAACAAATTTCAAGTAACTTGTTTGTGAATCTAAGCATGATTCCATGCTTATGAATCCAAGTGACAATATGATAGTGAAAATATGATTATAAGCATTTCTTGTAATCCCATTATACCTGATGTGTATCATATGAAATATCACTACAATATCTGTAACAGAATGTGATGTTTTAAATAAATACCTTTTTTTTGTTATGAATACTTTTAGTTGCCTTTTTCTGCCCAATTACAAATGTATGATAACTTCTGCTGTGGTACAAAATTACTTTTAAAACAAGAGACATGCAGTACATGTATCTGAAAATTGTATTCATTATTCATGCATTGCAATTTAGAACGTACATGTAGCTTATACACTATGGTTTCCTTTGTGAAAAGTTTTTTTAGTTCACCTGAGCAGAGGGCTTAAGTGAGATTTTACATTAAGTTTACTTCAGTGTTGGATGCGTCGCGGGTTCGAATCCCACTGCGGGATGTGGAGACTGGTCCTTCGGATGAGACCGAGGTCCCATGTCGCAGTACAGGTGCTGGCATGAAAAAAGATTTCTCACTGCTCAATGGCCCTGAGTGCCAAGTATAGGTAAAAAATTTGCAGCTCACCACCAGCAAGTCGTGGCATCTCCATATGAGTGAAAATTTCTCGAGAGGGACGTTAAACAACAATCAATCAATCTTAGATGAGATATCAAAGAAAATTTTGTTATAATTCAGATTTAATTTTTCACCTTCATATTTGTCGCACCATAGGCATTTGGCTCTCCCTGTTCACCCATCTTCTTTTTTAGAAAAATATTCATCGTTTAGTGACATGCATTTCGAATAGTCAATGCAAGAGGTACCACTAAAAAAAACATAGATACTGTCATAAGAATCTAAAATCTGTTATGAAGGAGTTTTTGAAAAGAGGGTTTTTGTGTAAAAAGATTGTTTTAATGTTTCAAATATTATGTGGCTATTGTGTAAAAGGAGTTTTGGGAACCAGATTTTTGTAGAAAGACGTCCTCTTTCTGTCCAATAAGCCTCCCCGTTGAAAATTTATTACAGCATCTTTCATATTCCCAAAAGATGATATGGCTACTGCGTTAAATGTAAGAGGAGTTGTGAGAATCAGGCTTTTGTAGAAAAAAAAAAAGTTTTTCAACCCTTCATCAGACCCTTAGGATAAATATAAAAAGTATCATCTACAGGAAACTTTCAATCATGTTTGGCTGCAGCATAAAATGTAAGAAGAGTTTTCCGAAGAAGATTGTGTGACAGGTGGATGGATGGATATACCGTGGTGATCTGACTTGAATGTGGTATATATTAGATGCCAAAAAGAACAAGAAAGAAAGCTTTGATCTTTTTTCTGACTTCAATGCTGAAGAATCCTTGATTCGTCATTAATTTAACCACTTTGAATTGCATACTCTAAAATTTGCCCACTTCTGCATAAGAGCTAGTGTAGCTGGGAAAGAATTTCTACTCTGTTACCTTATTTTATTAATTGACTTTGAAGGGAAGTTTTGTATCACAGTTACTTTTTGGCATTCCCGGATAAATAACCGCTGTTATATTATATTTGCTCATAACCTTTACCTTGTGACCCTTCAATTGAACATTTGTTTGTCCAAAGCAGTTTAAAAGTTATATATTATAAGTATTCACATTAAAAACTAGGCTTCCTTCTACAGAATATGGCAAGGTTTCTAAAATTTACGATGCAATCATCAGTTTTCTTTGTGGTTAGATCATGAATGCACAATTATTAAATATACATGATTTCAAAATCTGTCTTAGACAAACAGATTTCTATGAAGCAAGGTTTCCAACTGCCAATGTAGAATCTGACAACTTTTCTGGATATCTTTCAATCCAGGCATAAACATGCATGTACACGCACAAGTCTATTTTACAAGTATATCTTACAATTATATCCGTTCTTTGATTATTTGATATTTTAACTTTATTTATAGGAATTCCAAAATCTTGTACAATGAATATTTTTGTAATTTTGCATATAAATACGCTCGTATGTTTTACTTTAATTTATAGCAGTTTACGTTTCCTTCTTATTCATTGTGTGAACACCATCATAACCAGTTGAAGCTTAAATTGTTATGTGTTAGTAATAAACCATTGTCATGGTCAAATTTGACATATTGTTATTACAATTAAAAGCAGAATTATTCTTTGTGGAAAAGACTTTTTTCAATTGATAACATTTATCCACGAAATAAGTCCCTTACGAAAATTTTATACGGTTATATATACACTACAATATCGTTTTAGATCACAAATCAACGAAATTTATTCTCAGATATTTACATTCACTGAATATTACTTTCTTTATTTCTTATAAAAACCATTGCCGTTAATCAGTCAGTAAACAACACTAAGCAAGCCACCATCATAGATTTCTTAAGCAACGGCTGTTCCATCAATTATGCATACAAGGACATACACATCTATAATACAATATATATTTAACATATTTAATTTACTTTGAATGTTTTTTTTTTATAAAGATATAAATATAAACAATAAAATGTCTTTTTTTTTTGTTAGTACGGGATTTAACGTTGCAGCTATTGCAGAAAAAAAATCAGATAACCCACTTACGCGGGTTATGTATTTTTTCTGCAACAGCTGCGACATTAATTGCCGTACTAACAACCAAAGAAAGCATTTTATTGTTTAAATAAATTTCTCAAGTATTACATAATTATTATAATAAAGTTATAAAACTCACTTGAATATAAAATGTTGTGAAGGATAGTTAATATATGTATACCTAACATTATTATTGTATTACCGGACTGTGTTAAATGCATGCGCATAATTATGTTTGTACATGTATTTATTCTCAAGTCTATATTTTTCTCCAGTTCTTTTTCTCAGAAGGAATTAGGTAGATGACTAAGTTTTCTCTCTTCTCTGTTTTAAAAGCAATATGATGTGATATTTATGTTACCTTTGTTGCTTTTTGCATGGAACTCGGAAACACAATGCCTTGTATCTTCTTCAATCGGCAATCAGTAATGCGTTTTCCAGACATTACTCATAAAACTCAGCAATTCAAATTCATTTTATTCTTTGAACTTTTTGGGAACATTTTATTCATTAGTGCTACAATTATGCTATTTTAAAACCAGAGAATGACCATCTGCCAAACTGTTCATTGCTATAAGCAGAACCTTGTCCGTTCCAGGCACTTGATATTTTGATGGCATCGTCCTTTTCCAGGTTCAATATAACAAATCCTGTGGATGTTCCATCATCTCCCTGTTTTTCAGTATCAGCATGAACAGTCCCCTTTATTATATCATTGTGCAGTATATGAGTCGCTATTTCCCCGAAGGCACCCTTGGTTCCCGCAACATGTTGCCCAGCAGCCACAAGAGTCCAGAAAAATAGATACACCCCGGACCGCGGGGCAGTGAAGGTTCCTGTTTTCTTGCTGTATCCATGTCCGTTGTTGGTCACTACTACATCATAGATAAATGTCCTTCCTGCAGGTGGGAGTGCAAAGTTCTTCTAGATGAATGAGTAAAAAGACACAGTGGTTTTGTCTTGCTCTGAGGGAAAAATTGACATTATACATGTAACACAGCAATTCAAATATTCAGAGAAATGCTTATGGAATGTAGAATTCCATTTGATGAGGAAAACCAGTTATAATTAAGCAAAGTGAAGAAGATATATCGTGGTACGATACCGACTTCGATGAAAACATAAGGATGCAAGTTAAATAAAAATCTCTCCCTCTTTCTCCTTCTTCTATTCGTGTTTCGAATCTCGACGAATATTCGTCCTTTGTCTCCATAAAGGTCTAATTTGTTTTTGTTGTTTTTTTTTTTGTTGTTTTTTTTTTTAAATCAAATATGTACAGCATGAAGATAATTGATCACAGTTCTGTATTATTTGTGATAGCTTTTTTCAAAGAATTATGCAGCAAGGCTTTTATCTATGGTGAATTCATTGTCTTGATATGAAGAAATTTATGCATTTTTCCTTAAAGGTCAACATCTAGTAAATGAAAGGTGCCTACAGATTTCAATTTGATAAATGAATTCCTGTTATGATGGTTTTTTACCACCACTTAGTAAATTAAGGGTGTATCGGGGCATATTTTTTTTAGGTACATGTAATCAAAATGATTAAAAATTTTAACTCTCATTTCAACGAAAAATGAAGGATAAGTCGTTTTTTTTTTCTTATCTGACAAAGAAAAGGTATCCAGATTTTCTCAGAAAACGATAATTTATATATGTTCTTGACCTCTTCTTTAAAAATATATTGAATTGTGTATACGTATCGGGATTACATTTCATGTCAAACTGAATTCCATGGAGATGGTTTATTTTCCACATATAATTCAATTGTAGACGTAAAGTACGGGCAAAAATAAGTTTAAATTAATTTTGACTTTATATAATGAATCTAGCACTAAAAAAATATAAAACTCATTCACTAGATCTTGATCTCAAGCACATTTTTTTTTCTAAATAATAGTTAAAAATCTAATAAATGCATTAAAAACTAACTTTTCCAATTATATCTCAACGACAACCCCTTCCCTTCGAAATTTAGCATGTATTTATTGTTAAAATATTTCAGAGCTACGCGTATGGAATTGTCACAATCGGTAAATCATGTTTTGCTCTGATTTCCAGCATGATATGATTGCTAGGTCTATATCTACAATGTATATATATATATATATATATATATATATATATATATATATATATATATATATATATATATATATATATATATATATATATATATATATATATATATATATATATATATTAAAATCAAATTTCTTCAATCATATTTTGTCATAATTAAACCTGACGGCCAACGAGTCAAAATATTAAACTAACCTGTTCTGCAATCATTTCTTCCACAGCTACCTTCCGAATATGACTTACAGCTGTTAGCTACAGAAGGGGAAACAAGCAAAATGGGTGGAACAGCAAAGAGAAGTACTCGTCTTACTTTCATGTCGATTTGTAAGTGATAGCAGTGATATTAAAAAAAATGTTAAAAAGTGGTTTCTTATATATACTTTGTCGCTTGAATTTTTATGAGGAGAGCATCTGTTCCAAAGAGTTGTTTTTCAATTTACAAGTGCACGCGATAAAACAATTAGACTGAACTAAAGTACATGGGATTTATTGAGACTGAGTTATATTGTTATCACCATTTTAATATCTTATCGATTTAACAAAAATATGTGTAATACTTTTTTTTCCCAAAAGTAACATCGTCAACAATATAAGAAATTTTTTTCCTTCGAGATCAATGATTATACATTTGGTATTCTTTAGAGTAGAATGATGAAAGTTGTAATGCAAAATGTGAAGATAACGAACAGGGACCAAAAAAATATCTATGAACAATACAAATTTATTAACAGGGCATATAAAAGACGGACCCGGGAAATTCCAGAGGTGGGATCAGGTGCCTAGGAGAAGAAAGCTTCCTCAGCCTGTAAGACAAAAATCCTTCATCAAATTAATATTTTTTCTGTTTCGATGTCTCTGACAGTACATATACATGCTTTTTTTCTTATCAACACAAATAGTTCATAGTAGAATTAATTACAAATAAGTCATTAGAGTTATTCATCTTTTACCAGACTTCCATCGTCGCAAACCACGGCTAAAATTCACGATACTCTCCATTCTGGTAGCAGAGAGCTGTCGGCGAACTCCGGACCGTGACTTGAGATGATGCCTGGGTCCTTATATATTTTAACTTATAATTATTTTTAAATTTTTTTTTCTTTGTTCATTTACTTTCTTTGTGTATTGTATAGTAGCCCACGTTTGTTTCCTAGTCGCAGAGTAAGGAGTTGATCCTCACGTCGCAGTAGGTGCTAGCACGAAAAAGATCCCTTACTGCTCGAAGTGCCGAGTGCAAGTATAAAGATGTAAGAGCAATGAGTTCTTAGAATAGCCTCAATATTTCCTGGAAAATGAAAATTTACACTACATCAATTACACTGTAAAGGAATCACAGAAGTATAATACAAACTTAACTGAAAGATGAAGCTATGTCGCTCAAGAATTTCAAATATCTGGTAAAAATACCCTTGCTTATTGTAACATGCGAGGGCAAAACGAACTCCTTGGGATCGTACTTGGTTTGCCAACGTCCTACAAAGAGGATAATAAATGCAAAATATACAAGTAAAATGGACACTTGCCTAGTGTGTAAGGTACTTAATGTATATATATGTTTTTGTCACTTGCCTAGTGTTACAATTAAGTACACAAAGAGACATCTCTAATGCCTGTATATTTACTCGAGGTAATGCTTCTTGGTTGCACAAACAATTTAGCTTCTTATTTGCTTCACTTATTACAATTTTGTACTCTGTTTGCCTCCTTGATTCCAAGGAGCCCAGAAAAGGCATTTTCACTATATAATCAATACTGCCCCGCCTTCATAACCTTACGAAAATTCTCTTTAGAGAAGTGAACAGGCTTTCGCTTGTCGCTTTCGTGGATGTCGGCTAAAGCCTGTCCATTTCTCTGAAGAGAATAACCTTATGAAGTGACAAATTACGCAAAAGATTCCAAAATGGATGCTCCCAAAGTTTACAATAAATAATATTAATCATTTTGTGACGTGCATTTTGTATAGTCAGTGCTAAAGGTATCGTTAAAAAAATATATACATACTCTCATAAGAATTTAAACCCTTAAATAAGTGTTGATGTGGCATGTACTCTCCTATATATCTGTGAAACTAGGAAACCAAAGTTGTTATTTTATTATGTACCAAATTGAACATGAAATGCTCAGGTGAGCATTAGCCTAAAAGTCCCATGCTAATATATCATATAATGCATTTCCAGTCTTTAATTGTTGAATTTAATGAAATATAAATTCGTCTAAAATGGAGTTTTTGAAAAAAAGGATTTTGTTTAAAAAAAAAAAAGGGCGTTTTAATACTTCAAACATGATTAGGCTATTGCTTAAAAAGAGTTCTGGGAACCAAATTTTTGTAGAAAGACGCCGTCTTTGGTTCCCAGTAAACTTCCCCGTTGAGAATCTATGATTTTGTTACTGATTTTAATGTTAAAGGAGTTCTGGGAATCAGACTTTAAAAAAAAAAGAAAAAAAAGTTTTTCAACCCTCAATTAAACCCCAAGGATAAATATTAAAGGCATCATCTGCAGGAAACCACCAAACATGTTTGACTGTTGCATAAAATGTAAGGGTAGTCTTCCAAAGAAGATAGTTTGACAGGTGGATGGACGTTTATACAGGGATAACCTAACCTGAATGTGGTATATATTAACGGGACCCAATCTAGTTGGAAATTACGAAAACGGACCGGCAAATATTTTTGAATTTTTTGTACCATGCTAGGAAAAATTAGAATGGAATTTTCGGTATCTTGCCTCGATTGTAGTGGAATGGGGGCAATTCAAAATATGGACCATTTTACGTGGTTTTACACACAATTATATGCTAACGCCACCTATTAAAAAGTGAAATTGACAAATAAAAAAACTAAAGGGTGAAATGTTTTGCTTTTCTTACATTTTATGCAATATCTGTTCCTAATTTAAAAAAAAAAAAAAAAAATTGGGAGTATCCTTTACTGTAATGCATAGGGGGCATATCAAAACACACACAAAAAATACTTCAAATTTTATCTCTATACTTTATGAGCATTATTGATTGGGCCTCGTTAAATGCCAAAAAGAACAAGAAAGAAAACCTTGATCTCTTTTTTGGACTTCAATGCTGAAGACGTCAAGCATGGACATCCTTGAGGTCGTGTAAAAAATCATTGATTTGTCATTAACTATATATTGCATACTCTAAAAATCGCACAGTTTTGCACAAAAGAGCTATTATTAATAGCTGGGAAAGAGTTTCTACTCGGTTACCTTATTTTATATTAATATAATTTGATGCGAAGTTTTGTATCACAAAGAATTTTTGGCATTCCCGTATAATTAACTGTTGTATCTATCTATGCTCATAACCTTCACCTTGTGACCCGCCAACTGAATATATTTTGTGCATATATAGCAGTTTAAAACCGATATATTATGAATATTCATATTTCAAATTATGGTTCCTTATACACAATATGGCAAGTTTTCTGAAATTTACAACTCCATCATCAATTTTCTCTACGGTAAGATCATGAATCACAATTATCAAATAAATGTGATTTCAATTCATATGTCTAGAAAAACAGATTCTTATGAAGAAAGATTTTCAACTGCCAGTTGGGAATCTAGCGATTTGTTTGGATATCTTTCAATCCAGACATATATGTACATCTACATGCACAAGTCCATCTTACAGCTTTCTCACTTCTTTGATTATTTGACATTTTAACTTGTGTTTATAGGATTTGAAGATTCTTGTACATTGTATATCTTGTATAATTTTGCAAAAAACTACGCTTTAGGTTATTACAGCTTACGTTGTCCTATTATTCATTATGTGTGAATACCATTTTAACAAGTTGAAGTTTCATTTTTATATACCAGTAATTACCCATTGTCATGATTAATCTCTACGTATTGATATTACATATACAGTACCAACCAGACCCAACCTGACACAAAGCAGTCCCAGAGCAGTCCCGGGGACTGCTTTCTGGGACTGCTCTGGGACTGCTAAAGCAGTCCCAGAGCAGTCCCACAGCGGTCCCAGAGCAGTCCCAGTGGTCCCAGAAAGCAGTCCCAGCAGTCCCAGTGGGCGGGGTTAATTAATTTAATGGGCGGAGCTTACTCAGAAATGAGATAACCAATAAACAAAGTAACTATAAAAGGCAGTTGAAATTGATGATCCATTTCTTTCTGAGCAGTATCAATTCTCATGCGACAGTCATTTTTTAACTGTTAAGAAAATCACACTACGCGTATAGAAACAAATAATAAATATTGAACAAAGAAGACGTTCACACCTATAAATAACATGAATATTTAAACAAAGTTTTGTGGTATATTAATTTTTCACCAAAATAAATCAATTTCTAAATTACTGTGATTGATATTGGTTTCCATATTTATTTTTTGTTTATAGATAATTAAGCTTGAGTTATTTATTTTCTATCAAAACTAGCTTTAAATAGGCCTTATAATTATAGAGCTAGGCCGATTTCCATACTATACTCTGAATGCAGTTTTCTTAAGTGTACTGGAGCTTTTGAAAAATTCTTTGTGTATTATATTTCAGTCATGATTATTTTCACTGACTTGCCAATTTAATTATCGTTAAATTATCTATGTAACAGAAAACAATAATACTTTTATTACATAAACGTTTGAGTGTACATCTGTAAATCACGCGAATGGAACCCTCAGATTATGTTCAAAATTAATTAATCCCGAAATAAATTTATACACAGTTATTGAAACGAAGATTTTTTGCAGTACATAGATTTAAATTAGTGTCATTGTTGACCAGCATGTTCAGTGATGTGTAACACTGATACCCAAATAACATGCATTGACTTTCTGCTAATCATGCCCGAAGGCGATTGAAACTTCAGGTGTTGACACCATTTTATACATTTGTATTGCTTTTTATTAATCGGTCAGGAAAACACAAACAAAACAAATAAGAAATAAGTCACAATTCCCAATATTTTAAAATGTTTATAAATTTACTCTTTTAATTACTTGTTTATAAATCAAAAACAAATTCATAAATAAATCCCCCAATAATTGTTCACAAATATTATGTTTTAAAGACTGAAGAATGGTAGAATAATTTTATTTCATGGTCATTTAGTAAATTATTAGGTTTTATTTGAGGGCGGTAAAAAATAGCATGGAATACTCTTTTTTAGCATGCATGTGGTTTTAGCTTTTTCAATTTAAAAAAAAATCCAGTACAGTACGTCCCTCTGAAGTCTTATTGTAATGACAAGTTTGTTTGTTTTTTTTGTTAGTTTGTTTGTTTTTAAATAGTGCTAATGCAAACTTTGAGTATATTCGATAACTTGACAGCATTTACTAATTAAATAGGC